TCATAGAAAACATCAATAAAACAACAAGCTGGTTCTTGTTCTTGAAAGAATTAAAAAGATTGATGGACCCCTAGCATGAAAGACCAAGAAAAAGAGAGAAAAATTCCAAATAAACACACTCAGAAATACAAAAGACCAAATCACAACTGACCTCAAAGAAATACAAAAGATTATGAGAGATTACTATGTACACCTATATGGGAAAAAAAACTTGATAATCTAAATGAAATGGAGGACTTTCTGACATCACACAACTTCCCCAGATTGACACAAGAAGACAATGAGACACTAAATAGACCAATAACAACCCAGGAAATTGACTATGTCATATAAAAACTACCTACAAAAAAAAGGCCTGGACTTGATGACTTTCCAGCAGAATTCTACAAAACATACAAGAGCTTATACCAATCCTACTGAAAGTATTCCAAGCAATTGAGAGATGGAATTCTTCCCAAATCATTTTACGAAGCTAACCTCACACTAATAAACAAACTGGGTAAATATCCAACAAAACAGAGAAATACAGGCCAGATAAAGACATCCTCAACAAGACTGCAGCAAATCAGACCCAAAAACACATCTCAAAAATCATCTACCATGACCAAGTAGGCTTCATCCCCAGGATCCAGGGCTGGTTCAACATTGGCAAGATCATAAATGTCATTAAATACATTAACAGATGTAAAAACAAGAACCACATGATTATCTTATTAGATGCAGGAAAAGCTTTTGATAAAGTCCAGCATCCCTTCTTGACAAAAACCCTCAAACATCTAGATATGGAAGGAACATACCTTAAAATAGTAAGTGCCATCTACAATAAACCCACACCTAACATATTGCTAAACGGACAGAAACTGGAAATATTCTCCCTGAAAACTGGAACAAGACAAGACTGCCCACTCTTACCCCTCTTGTTCAACATTGTGTTGGAAGTAATAGCTAGGGCAATTAGACAAGAGAAGGAAAACAGGGTATCCAAACAGGAAAAGAAGAAGTCAAGTTATCCCTCTTTGCTGATGATATGATCCTATACCTTGAAAATCCAAGAGAATCTGTCAAAAACCTACTTGCATTGATAAAGGACTTTGGCAAAGTCTCAGGGTACAAAATAAATGTACAAAAGATAGTTGCATTTTTATACACCAACAACAAGCAGGCAGCAACCCAAATTAAAACCACAATCCCATTCTCAATAGCCACACAAAAAATGAAATGCCTTGGCATCTGCCTAACCAGAGAAGTGAAAGACCTTTACAATGAGAACTACAAAACACTGCTCAAAGAAATCCAAGAAGACACAAACAAATGGAAAAATATTCCATGCTCATGGATAGGAAGAATCAACATTGTTAAGATGTGTATCCTACCCAAGGGAATCTACAGATTCAACACAATATCCATTAAATTACCAACATCTTTCTTCTCAGACCTGGAAATGACAATACAAAAATTCATATGGAAACATAAACGACCATGAATAGCCAAGACAATCCTTAACAAAAGAAACAAACCAGGAGGTATCACACTTCCAGACTTCAAACTTTACTATAAGGCTACAGTAATCAAAATAGCCTGGTATTGGTACAAAAACAAACATATAGACCAATAGAACAAGATAGAAATTCCAGAAGCAAAATCTCAATTTCTCAACCAACTCATCTTTGGCAAAGTCTCCAAAAACAACCACTAGGGAGAGGAGAACCTACTCAGTAAATGGTGCTAGGAAAACTGGCTGATCACATGCAGGAGATTGAAACAGGACCCCTACCTATCACCATACACAAAAATCAACTCTAAATGGATCAAAGACCAAAATGTAAAACCTCAAACTATAAGAATCTTGGAAGACACCCTTATGGAAATTGGAACTAGCAACCAATTCCTGCTCAAAATCCTAAGTGCTCATACCACAAGAAATAAGATAGAAAAGTGGGACCTCATCAAACTGATGAGCTTTTGCAAAGCAAAACAAACCATCAAGAGAGCAGGGAGACAGTCCACAGAATGGGAAAAAATATTTGCCAACTGTATATCTGACAAAGGCCTAACATCTAGGATCTACAAGGAACTCAAACATACCGAAAGGAAAAAAAACAAACGGCCCCATTAAAAAGTGGGCAAAAAGATATGAATAAACACTTCTCAAAAGAAGATATACGGGCAGCCAACAGACACATGAAAAAGTGTTCAGCCTCACTCATCATCAGAGAAATGCAAATCAAAAGCACATTGAGAGAACACCTAACCCCAGTAAGACAATAAAACAAACAACAACAGATGCTGGCAAGGATGCAGAGAAAAAGGAATGCTTCTACACTACTGGTGCAAATGCAAACTAGTTCAACCTCTTTGAAAGACAGTGTGGCGATTTCTGAAAGAACTAGAAATTGACCTGCCATATGACCCAGAAATTCCCCTATTGGGAATATACCCAGAGGAACTCAAATCATTCCACAAAAAGATGCCTGCACACATATATTTGTTGCAACTCTATTCACAATAGCTAAAACATGGAACCAACCATGCTGCCCATCAAAGCTGGACTGGATTAAAAAAATGTGGTACATATACACAAAGTAATATTATGCAGCCACAAAGATGGACAAATATATGGACTTCGCAGCAACTTGGATGGATTTAGAGTTGATCTTACTCAGTGATCTATCACAGAAACAAAGAACAGAGTACCATATGGTCTCACTCATAAGTGAATTTGAACAATTATCATACTACTATAAGAAAGGAATTGGCAGTAGAGGGAAATTGCCAGGGGAGGGAGGGGCACACCTCATCAACAAAGGTACCCACATAATCAATGTTTGTATACCTAATCCTGAACAAAGGTACCCACATAATCAATGTTTGTATACCTAATCCTGAACTCTACCCCACATCTTTAAAATAAAGTAAAATAATATATAAACAAATAAAATGTAAAATAAATAAATAAATACAGTGCTAATAATGCATAGCCTAATTCTGAAAATTGGTAATAAGCAAATAAATACTAACCAGATCATTTAGATGATGCTGAGTATATGGTATTTGGCATGATGTGTCCCACCCAAGAGCAGAAGATGAATTTGGAGGGTTAAAATGAACTTTTGATTTACTAAGTGGAATATATGAAAAATCATCCTAAAAAATAAAATATAATGATACTTATTATATGCATTATGCAATATTGTGTTCAAATGTCTATCTTAAATACTTAGCAAAAATTACCTCATCAGAGTCAACAAGGCTTCCCAAGTCAAGTCGTGGGACCCTGAAAGAAATAATCTATTTATCCCATAACTTTTAAAAATGAGACATTAATAATTGTGAATCATATAAGCTACATCATACATAAAAAGGTACCATGAAGCCAATAGTGTGCTCACTCCAACCAGCTTATGACAGGCATTTGTTAAACGTTCAGTAATTTTTTCCAGCTGATTGTTAATCAAAGCAATCATTCAAAATAAAATTAAATAAATTATGGTTAAAGTATATTAAAAACAAAAGACATAAATACTCAAAATGCATCATTCTCTAATGATTTTACTGAATTTCACTATGATCTGTGCTCTAGAGGTTACTTGCATCTATCATACCTGTGTGGTAATATCATAGTGGGCATCTCTTTCTGACTCTGTGCTTAGTGATATCATATAGATACACTGAAATCAGCCTTGGTGAGATTATTTATACTGAAATTGACAAATGCTACGAATGCGGACTTGATTTATCATCTTGTTGGTTTCTGAGACTTAAACAAGTGACAGAGAAAATATTAATAATGCAGATTAGACTTAAAATTGAATCATGTTTATCGCTGTCACACAGGGAAAAGCACCTAAATAAACTGGGGAAATATTACTTCAGTATCCAAAACTATTATTTTATTCAGCAAAGCAATCACTCACATCACTTCATAGTAAATAAAAATATTAACCAACATTCATGTTGGAACCAAACTGGCTTATTAATTGCAGCCATAGGCTAGCTGGAGATATAAAGTTCAGCAGAAAACCAAGAGAGCATTATGTGAGAATAGACTGGCTATAAGGAATCTACAATAAAGAGTGTATGTATTTTATTAGTATTTATAAACAGTTTTCTACATGTTCTTTATACCAGTAAAAATAATATATACTTAAATTAATTTATAATGAACAAGTAAAATTTATAATAAACTTACAATACACTTTCAGAAAACCAGTTGCTAAACATTTCCCAACTCACAATTGATATAGCCACTGTTACATACTCAATAACCTATATCTAAGCCAGGGACCTAGTTCTATTCTTTATGTCTAGATGAAAATACAGGTATCTATTATGTAAACTCACATAAAATTGCTGACATTTGCTCATTTTTAATATCTGGAAATGTCAATGTTGTGTGGGACAGCCTAGTAAATTACTAAGTTTTTAATTTCTATTTCCAAGAAGACTTATAGTCTAAAATACTTGAAAGAATATGAAAATCATATCATTCCAAATTTTAAAAGCTTAAAATAATGACATAAAACATAAGTCAATGTATTCTAAGCCAAAAATAAAATAATTTCAATGATATTGATAAAATTATCATAGTTCTCAAAATTAAAGCACAGACATATTTATCTTTAAATTCATTTTGACTATCCAAGTATAAAATTTAAAATTTTACATATCTTTAATAAATACCTCTAGCTAAATTTTCTACTCTTTAATAAATGCACTTAGCTGAATTTTCTAAATGAAGAAATATTTTAACTTTTTCAGAAAATGTAAAAATAATATTAAAAAAATAAAAAGCCAAGACAGTATTACCATATTTCTCCCATCCTATCACAAAAGCTATTTTAATTTTGGCATGATGATTTTCAGGTCATCCATATGCATATAGACTTTTCTGTGGTTCACAATCAGATCTACATATATAATTTTGCTTTCTTTTCTAACTTGTCAATAGCTCATAAATATGTGCCCATCAAACAGTTGAAATGTGAAGACTCTTGACTTACACTGGTGGGCAAGGGTTCTCGATTGCCCATGATTCAGAAGTCCACCTTTGCTTTAATTAAAAAAAGATAGAATCAGTATAAATATACCCTTTATACTTTAATAGATAAGCAATGAGTCAATGCAGTAAAGCTAATTTCAATTTTCTCAGTAAATTCCATTTAAGAAATACTTATTAAGCCCTTTCTACTGTACTTAAGACACAGATAAAATGGTAAGCAGATTATTAATAGATAATCCCCACTTACATAGTATTCTGCCTGCTTGGAAGACTTTCACTCAAATAAACAATAATGGAAAAATAAGTCCATAAACAGAGCAATTACATAGCATGTGTGCCCAACCTGCTCTACGGAATTTAGGAAGCTTAAAAAAGAGGGGGCTGCAGGGCAACTTTTAAAAGGAGTTCTGAACAATGGGGAGTAGTTAGCCAGATCTGAAAGGAGAAGGAAGAAAATTGCTTCAACCAGGAAACAACTTGTGCTGCACAGGCCCGCAGGAAAGTTAGCATTTGAAAAGGGGTGGAATCCAGAGTGTGAGGAGGCAGGGGGCAGATGTTACATTACAATACAAGATGTAGGTTTTGGATCTTTTCCTTGAGGGAAAAGGAAAACATTGCTGTGTTTGAGCAAAGAAGTGAAAAAATATACATGCATTCGATGTTCAATCCTATTGCCAAAAAACTGTAGAAAGACATGAAAATTACAGCCAGTTTAGCCGCTATAGAATAAAAGTATGTATGTGTCTTAGGAAAAGTTCAAGTTAATAAAAACAGGAAATAATTCACCCTTCAGTACTTATATCTTGTTTTTGAAATGTTGTCTAGCTTGTGCTATTTTTTGTGATATTGATATTAAGCATGAAAATTACATTCTACTATTTTTCATTTTTTATATTTTCTGTAGACATAATTTTTCAAATAACAATAATAAGACAATAAGGTTATTCTTAGAAAATAAAACTAAATTAAGTAGTGGCAAATTTCAAGGAACTGTTATCTTCAGTTTTGGTGGTTCCGTTCTTTACATGCAGGAAATACTCATCTAAATATTAGTGAGTATAAGTCGACATAAAATGTGAAGAAAGAGTCAGAAAATTATTTAGTAAGTCATCCAGCAAAAGGAAAAGTATAAACCACTACATACTTGTAGTGGTTTCTTTCTTCCAGAGAATGGCTGAATTCGGCTCCTAGAAGCAGCAGCAACTCCTTTAACCTCCAAATCCATTTAAGATCATGTATTTATCATGCAGTATACTTTGGGAAAGATAAAATAAATATTAAATGCAATTTTTACTCTAATTTTAAATAATCCCTACAAATTACATAATAATACTAGATACAGTCCCTTAAGACTCACTTGGTACTTCCAACCACCAGAACTGTAAAAAGATAAATTTATATTGTTTTAAACCACTAAGTTAGTGATAATTTTTCACAACAATAGGAAACTAATGCATGTCCCTTTTCCTACACAATGAACTATATATTTATTTTCTTTATATATTTATTTTATTTCACTTCCCAAACCTTTATAAGTTTTGGGTTGCCAAGGTAGGCTGATGAAAGTATTTTTAGCTAGCATATTCTTCATCTAATGCAAAGAATAAAATAGAGTAAATGGTCCAATTGGTAATAACGTAGTAATTGATTAAAATGCTGGCCAAAAAAGGTTGAAAATAATCAACTTGTAAATATACACAAAATAAAAATCAGATAAATATATCTGTCATCAATATTTTGCATATTTTATTTTATACATCACCTTTACATTACCAAGCATAATTTTTTGTTTAAAGATATGTTCATACTTTGTTTTTCTATTGTTAGACTTGAATTTGATATTAATAGTAACTTAATTTTTTAAGTAAAGATAGCAAGGCATAATGCCAGCTTAATGTTAGATAAACATTGTAATCCTAATTTTTGCCACTTTCCCATTAATTTATAAAACCTAATCTTGGATTTATAAAACCTAGAAAACCGTAGGAACTCAGCTATTTGTTAAATAAGTGAATTCAGTCAATTCAGATATGAATTAGTTTAGAACTACATAGCATACAAATGATTCATTTTGATATAGCAAGAGTATTCTAAGGGAAAAACCATCCTATATGGAACACTCCAGAATCTGTAAGATCAGAGTTGTCAGGTAACTGACATGCTACTTAAATAATTTTGGACAGGGCTTAAAAGATAAAAAAGAGCTCAACCTTCTGATTCTTAAACTGAGTAAGCTGAGACCCAGAAAAGTGAATTTGACTTTTTCAAACTGCCACTTATTGCAGAGTTTGAATTCGTACAGGGATTCCAGTTTGTTTGTTTGTTTGTTTGTTTGTTTTTTCAGGACTACACCCTTGCTGTTATAGGCAATAGAAGAATCAGAGAGAATTAGCTGCAGGTACTAAAGATTACCAGAAACCGAAACTTCATGGCACGAGATTCAGTATTCCCGACAAATGGCTGTGAGGCAATTTTTGGAACATATGCCAAAGGTTATGCTTGCCCTAAAGCAATAAATATCCATTTAGGATACGATGCGGGTAGGGAGTAGCAGGAGGAGGGAAGAGCACTTCTGAATGGCTTCTCTCCCGACTCAAACTGCTGCACATCATGAGATATTACTGCTAGCCAAGTAACCAATATTACTGGCTATCATTTTTAGTTCTACCAAAAAAAAAAATGAACTAACTTCCCACTTCCTTCATTTTTTTTAAGGATGATTATTTCCAATTCTAATTATCATCATATCTCTCTAGGTAGTGGGTAGTGATGTTAGTGGCCATTATGTTGCTTTATACCATATCAGAACATAATGGGAAAAAATAAATAAATTGATTGAATCTGGCGCTTAAAGGAAG